ACGGATAGATCTGTGGTCCCTCCAGCCACTTTGCCACTTCTATACCTCCACCTAACGCCCGCCTAGACATGGGCTTAAATGGACTCCTCCTCCCCTAGGAAGGCCCCCCAGATCTCCCTAGCCCACCCATCTCCCTAGCCCACCCCGCCTGGGGCTTCTCAGGGCTCTGGCCTCAAATCACTCCCCTTTGTATCTCCTCTTTTGTCACTTACTGGATGCCCCGCTCTACCCATCTTGTAACAAAAGCTCTTCCCTCCCTCCCTTCTTGAGGAGTCTAGAGGCCCAGGCCCTCCTGGAGGACAGCTCCAAGAGAGGAAAAGACAACAAGGCTCATTCCAGTCCCACATGAATCCAGCCTGTTCCATAGCCTGAGCCCTTCCCAGTTCAACATCTCTCAATCAAGGCTGCCTGAGGCAGGCCCCTAGCACACTGCCGCCGCCCTGGGCTGGGCTCCAGAGCAGCAAAGGTAACCCCCGAGCCGGAGAGGACCTAAAGTCATTGCAGCGGAAGTCGGAGACCACCTGGATTTCCATTCTCCACCCATTTATTTAGCTCAGTGGTTCCAGATTTTGGATTTCAACGGCCTATAGGCAAACCCACCCCTCACTCCCAATTTAGAAGACCAATTGAAGTTCCCAACTTTTAGTACTTCCAAGAAACCCACTAAAATATTATATGATCTTGGGGTGCCAGGGTGGCTCAGTTGGTTAAGCATCACAGTATCAGACACTTGATTTCCACTCAGGTCATGATCTCAGGGTCATGATGGAATCCTGTGTCACCTCTGCACTGGGTGGGGAGCCTGCTTAAGATTCCCTCTCTCTCTCCCTCTGCCCAACCCTGACCCCCGCTTGTGCACAAGTGCCCCCTCCTAAAATAAATAAATAATAAATAAAAGAAAAGATCTGATCTGCACTTCAGTTTTCCCAAAATGTTCCTGGAGCTTTCGAATGGGACTCACTCATCCTTTTATAAAATAATCAAGTACAAATTTTAAGATCTGTATTTTTTATTTTAATATCAAAACAAGGAAGAGGAATAGAGTGTCTCAGTAAAGACAAATCCTCTAAGTTAATAAATTTAACTTTATGAAATATTTCCTATGCTGTCCTCAATTTTCCTATTTTGCATAAACAAGTGAAAAACCACAAACCCGCTTGTATTTTTGGTCTGGAGTTCAGGTGCAAACCAACTCGAGCACCTGCTTTAAACGTAAGTCCGTGCTAGGAGCTGTGTTGTGGTTACAATACTAAGGCAGTGTCAGTACTGTGCTTTCAGTACATATTCTGTGTAATATCAAGACCTGCCGTTTTAAAGTAAAGAGAGAAATAGTATTGCCATTGTTTTCTATATTTGGTCCTCATGCTGTTCACAGGATTAAGAGTTTAAGAAAATCTACTCAGTTGCACACCTACTGTTTACTGTGAGTGTTGAAATGGACCTCGAGTCTGTGGGCAGTTGTAGGCACTGCCCTTTGGGCAGCATGATGAGGTGGTGAAAGATGGGAACCTGCATGGTGGGTGGAAGGAAGGGAGGAGCTACAATATGCTTTGCAGGTGTCCTATTTCTAAACAACGACCCAGGAAGCAGTGAGCTGCCTGACACTCTGAGACCCTAGAAGGACGAGCAAGGCCCACAGGCAAGAAATTACAGAGAAGCAATTTTAAGCTTAAAAGAGGAAAGATGGGTAGCCCCAGTGGTGCAGCGGTTTAGCACCGCCTGCAGCCCGGGGTGTGATCCTGGAGACCTGGAATCGAGTCCCACATCGGGCTCCCTGCATGGAGCCTGCTTCTCCCTTTGCCTGTGTCTCTGCCTCTCTCTCTTTGTGTGCCTCTAGGAGTAAATAAATAAAAATCTTAAAAAAAATAAATAAAAAAAATAAAAGAGGAAAGATGTTCTCAGAATCAGAGAGGCCCAAATATAGAAAGTGAGCTTCTCATTAGGCATAGCTGTTGAATAATCATCAGTCTGGGAGGGGATGGAGAAGATTACTACATTTGAATAAAAATAATAACACTAAATAGAAATAATGCAAATAGTTTTATGTTTATAGTACTCGACATTTAATAAGTTGTTTTGAAGGGGAAGCTGATTAGCTCCGTCAATAGAACACACAAACTTGATGTCAGGGTCATGAGTTTGAGCCCCAAGTTGAGTGTGAAGCCTACTTAAAAAAATAATAAAATAAAATTTTAAAAATAATAAATTTATTGGGGTGCCTGGTTGGCTCTGTCAAAAGAGCATGCAACTCTTGATCTCGGGGTCATGAGTTTGAGGGCATGTTGGGTGTAGAGATTGCTTAAATAAATAAACCTAAAAAAAAAGTTGTTTTGGTACAACCGAGTTTTTCAATAGTCTTGGGAGTTAGATACAAAGTATTCTGATTTCAGGTTCAAGATAGCAGATTGAAGACACAGCAGTGAACAAAACATAAAAATGCCTGGTGAAGCTTACAATCTAGAAATTCCATAGATCTTCTATTAGCCTTGTGACATTTGCATAGTTTAGGAATAAGGCAAGATAAGATAATGCAAGGAAAAAAGAAAGGCAATTATCAATTAAAAAAAAGGCAAGAGAAACAATAAAGGCAATGTAAGTATAGCATACTATTGATTACATAGTAAATAATATCAACGTAGTCATAAGAATATAAATGCTGGTTTTTATTTTTATTTTAAAATTTCTTATTTTGATTTTTATTTAAATTCTAGTTAGTTAACATACAGGATAAAATTGGTTTCAGGTGTAGGAATTAGTGATTCATCATGTTTTACATTTTAAAATAACTTGTAAACAAAGCAATTTAGTGATGATCAAAGACAGAATGTCTGCGTTAATGATCTTGATAACAGAAAAATACATGTATAGTCAACGGAATACTTAAGTTGGGGGGGACAATGAAATAAAAAGCGGAGGAGTTAATAGCCTAGTTTTCAAACAGGTTGTTGAGATATTAAATAGAGTTGAGAAAACAAGAAATAAAAGTATAAGTACATTGTTTAAATGTTCAAATGTAATCAATAAAATACAGAGTTAGATGATGATAGATGGATAAATAGAACAGAGAGGAAGAGAAAAAAGAGGGAGTTTATGTGAACTAAATTCTTGTTTTTCATACCATGAAGTCAATAGACCACCTAAAGTCAGTAAATCAAGAAACAGATCTATAAACATTTTATTCAGAGTTTCAGAGACTAAGGACCTAAATAAACAAAAACATAATGATTGAAAGAGGTTGCCTTGGAGACGTTAAGTCAGAGGTAGGGAGGATTGGACCAAGAAACTTGTTTTTTTATCACATATGTATATAACGTATCTTAGGTGTTTTTTTTTGTTTGTTTGTTTGTTTTTCAATAATACAATGTAGGGGATCCCTGGGTGGTTCAGCGGTTTAGTGCCTACCTTTGGCCCGGGGCATGATCCTGGAGTCCCGGGATCGAGTCCCACATCAGGTTCCCTGCATGAAGCCTGCTTATCCCTCTGCCTGTGTCTCTGCTTCTCTCTCTCTCTCTCTGTCTCTCATGAATAAATAAATAAAATCTTTTTAAAAAATAATACAATGTAATATATTATTTTGTTATTTTTAAAAATTCAAATCTACCGTCCTCATTACACAGATAAAGAAACTGAGGCTCCGAGAGTGGAGGTGGCTTTCCTTCCTTAGGTCATAACACCAGCAAGAGGAAGGCCGAGGAATGGAGGCTGTGTCTCATGACATCAGCTCATCTGAGCTCTATGGGACACCAAGCAGCCCTGAGAGTTCTTTCTCACCCTGCTTCTATGATTAACTACCCTTCCAAGCCACTATGCCTTTGCATCTGCTCTTTTTTTCTGCCTGGGGTGGGCCTCCCGGCTCCTTTCCCTGGCATGTGCCTGGTCATTTTTCATAACCCAGCCCCATGTCAATTCCCTCAAGACTATGACCCTTTCTTGTCCTCCTCCTGTACTGTCCCGGCCTCTACTATAATGTTTATTTCTGGTCCCACTGGATCATAAATATTTGGTTACCCATCTGGCTACCCATCTTACAGTCTCATTTGCTAGACGGTGAATCCCTCAAGGCAGAGGTTTATGTCTGATTCAACACTGTACCCCAGCTCCCACCCCAATGTCTGCCACTGAGCATTCAAAAGTGTTTGGGGAATTTGTGAATGGGTGGAGCACATGGGTCCCTGCCTCTAAGATTCTGGGCTGGTGGCCCAAGGCCCAAACCCTGGCCACAGGCCTGACAGCTGTGCAGGAGGCTGCTCCATCAGGTTCAAACTCATCTCTGAATGCTCCCCCACCCCCAACCTTCATATGCTGTCACTCTCCTGTTTTTTTTGTTCTCCACTCACATCTCAAGGTTTATCCGTAGATCTCAGCACTCCCAAAGGGCATGCTTCAAGAGCCAAGTGGAGCCTTCCATCTGGATTGAATTAAACCACTGACAGAGTTATGTCCCCAAGTCAGCAGGAGCTGGAGGAAGGCTTTGGGGAAGAGAGCAGACCTTTACTCCTTAGAGGAGCTAACTCAGAAGAAAAATAATGTGTTGGGAAGAGCTACCCAAAGGGATGAGAAGAAGGAGATGATCAGATGGAGCAGCTCTCAGACGTGTGTCCCCAGGGAAGGTCTCGGTATCTCTGGGCCTCTGTTTTCTCACCTACATTATAGGGGACGTGATGTGTGCTTTGTGGGTTGGAGTGAGAGCAATCAGTGAGGAAAAACATGAGGAGGTATCTGGAACAGTGCTGGCTCAGGGTGGTGCTCACTCTATGTGGGAGCTTTCCTTCCTCTCCGGTTCTTTTTGTTTTTCTTTTTGTGTTGTTGTTTTTCAATTTTTATCACAGTTACCCAGGACACAGTCAAAAAGGTGTTCTTTGGTTACAACAAAACTAGTTCCTCACCCTGTCCTCACTGTTTATTTTTCTCCAGAAGCAACGACTTGCAACTCTCTTTACCAATTCTGCTGGTGTTGACTCCCATATTTCAAAATACCTGGCTTGTATTGGTACTTTTTGTAGGCGCCTACTGAAGAGTACCTTGGTCGCTTCCAGGATGGGGCAATCGTGAATACAGTTGCTATACACGTTCACGTGCAGGTGTGTGTGCAAAGGTTTTCAGCTCATTTGGGTGAATGCCGAGGAGCTGGATTGCATGGTAGGCTCTGGTTAGCTTTGTGAGAGACTTGGGGACTGCATGCTGAAGGGGCCGCACCGCTTCGCATTCCCACCAGCAATGAATGAGAGTTCCTGTCGCACCACGCGCTCACCAGCATTTGGTGTTGTCAGTGGTTTGGATTTCAGCCATTCTAACTAGCGTGTAGTGGTGTCTCGTTATTTTAATTTATACTTCCTGATGATGCATGATGTGGAGCAGACTTTCACGTGTTTACTGCCGTCTGTATATCTCCTCGGAGAAGGAATCTGTTCAGATCGTTTGCTTGTTTTTTTTAAAATTGGGTTGTTTGTGTTCTTATTGTTCAGTTTTAAGAGTTCTTTGTATATTTTATTTATTTATTTTTAAAGGTTTTATTTATTTATTCGTGAGAGACACATACAGAGAGAGAGGCAGACACATAGAGGAAGAAGCAGGCTTCCCGCACGGAGAGAGTCCTCAATGTGGAGCTTGATCCCCGGACCCTGGGATCACCCTCTGAGCTGAAGGCAGATGCTCAACCCCTAAGCCACCCAGGCGTCCCTCTTTGTGTATCTTAGATACAAGCCCTTATCACATGTGTGTTTTGCAAATATTTTCTCCTAGCCTTTGGTGCGTCTTTCCATCCTCTTTACGTACTGAACTGTTGTTCTTACTATGGGTTTAATGTCTAAGGGCTTGTGTTCTGTTCTCTGGATGTCCATTCTATGGTTCCTCTCGTATGCCTCATACACGCGGTAATTCTTTTCATCTCTCTGAAGATATTCACGACCATTTCTCCTGTTTTCTTCTCCCTCTGTTTCTTCTAAGTTGCTTTTGTCTCTTAGTAGATACACTTTCCTCAAGAGGTAGATGATTCCTGGCTGTCTTCTTGTCTGAGGAAGACCCCCATATCTAACTGGATGTTTTGCGGTACACACGGTGCATGTGTGTGAGTGTGTGTGTGTGTATGTGTTGGGGGCGCTTGGTGACTATGGGTTCTCTCTAGACTATCAGGCCATACATTTTATTAGGGAATGCCTACACAGTCCATGCCTGGATCGTGTAGGACCGTGTATGCCTCACTGTGGGTACTTCAAGATTAGAGCGGGGGAAGAACACTGGAGGTTTCAACATCTATTAAGTAAACTAACATTTAATACCATTTTTAATACTCCCCACTCATCCGTGCCTGCTGTCTTCCTGTCTGGATATCCTCATTTTATCCTGTCCAGAAAATGAAGCCTCAGGCTTCTGCTGAGCTGGAGAACACAGTCCCCAACCTGTGTAGTGAGGAGGGATTGGATCTGAGGGTCGACATTGTTCTTAGATTGTTTCGGGGGGCATAATACATTGAGTTCATCCCAAAGAGAAAATTTAATTTTCCCCCGATGTTTTCATATTCTACAAGAATTATAACTGACATCTTTTTTTTGGCGCTTGTGGACTTAAATTTTAAAATCAGAGGTGATGATACAAGAGTATATATACTTTACATTAATTTCTAATAACTCTCTTTTAATAAAAATATTATCAATTCTCTGTCATCCTAAGATAAAATTTTACCAAAATTTATACTTTTCTGTCATGTTCATCCAAAGATCCAGTTGTTGTTTTTTTTAACCCTCGATCTATACTTACAAAGAATGAACTTGAACAAAATACTCATCAGAAAATATTTCTATATCTGTTAGTTGAGTAGATTCTTCGAGTGTTCTGGGTCCTAGCTAGCCTTACTTAGCATTTATTGTTTCCATGGGTTAAAAAAAGAATAAACTTTCTGCGTAGCAGTCCTATCTCCTGAGTCTCCTCTTGGCTAGAACTGTTCTCAGACTTCCCTTGTTTTTTATTATCTTGACAATTTTGAGGAGTACTGGTCAAGTCAAGTATTTTGTAGAAGGTCCTTCAGTTGGGATTTTTCCTGAAGTTTCTCTAGTGAACAGGCAGGAATTATGTGTTCTTGAGAGAAAGACCACAGACAGGCATGGTGCTATTTGCATCATATTCTATCAAGAGTTCGTAATATCGACACGGCTTATCACTGATAAGGTTAACTTTGGTCACCTGGCGAGGTAACTGTTGGATTTCTCCATGCTAAAGTGGCTCTTTCCACCTTCCCTCCACCCCGACCACACTGTGATCTTTGGAAAGAAGTCACTGTGCACAACCAGTATTTAAGGACTGGGGAGTTATGTCCCACCTCCCCAAGGGCAGATGATCTACACAGATTACTTGGAATTCTTCTGTACAGGAGGCTTGACTCTTCTGTTTATTCCTTTATGTCACTATGGACCCTTGGGCCTTGATTTTATATTTTGAGTTATAATCCAATACTGCTTTATTTCATTGCTCAAATTGTTCTAGCTTTGACTGTTAGGAACAGTCACTTGTCTTCTGTGTCCTTCGACAAGCCTCCATCACTGTGCGTGCATTGTGTGTGTGTGTGTGTGTGTGTGTGTGTGTGTGTATGTGAGAGAGAGAGAGAGAGAGCACATGCACACAAGAATGTACTTTCTTACTTTTTGGCACTACTAGATGCTTCTAGCTCATTTGTGTATTTCCTGCCCCAGTTCCAGAATCAGCCTTTCTCCGAGGAGTCCTGGCACCTTTTATTGGAGAATAGTGTTAGAAACCAAGATCTGGGTACCAGGTGTGTGCATTGACGTTGGGATATTGTTGCTTCCAGGCCTTGCTCAGCTGCTGGAGCAAAAACATATCTGCGTGTATACAAAGCCATGTGCCTCTACATACTTTTAAATATTTCTATATGTAGCCACCCATAGGGTATGATGCTGTGCTAAAGATAGGTTTATTCTAGCCTCTTCTTCCTACCTATTTGTAACCTCCATCTTGACAGTGAGGAGCCAGTCTCCATCAGTTCACCGAGGTGCTTATGTCCACATGTAACTGTCAGAAAGCTCCCCTGGGGGCGGGGGGACCTTCGAGTACAGCTAGAGCGCCACTTGTATTCAGCTCTTCCATCTTTATCCTCTTCCGTTTCCAGAATCACTTAGGTCGGCACCTTTGTCCCACCCCCTTCAGTCCAGTTCATTCACACATTTGTCATTCGGTTACATTGTTCGGTCACATTCCGCACTCCGTCCTGGAATCCGATGACCTTCTAGATGATTCTTCTAAATATGAACAAATTAAGGTTCAGTCTTTGTGGAACTCGGTTCCCGGGGTTTTAACAAAGGCTCCACCACAGCATCATGCAGAGCGGTTCCACGGGCCCAGAAACCCCAGCCCCTCCCAGTGCTTTACCTGGTCAGCCTTCCCCCAATCCCTGGCATCGCCGAGCTCTTTACTTCTTCTAGAGTTGTGTTCTTTTCCAAGACGCCACCTCCTTGGAATCACACAGAATGTGGCCTTTTCAGATTGGCTTCTTTCCCTTCACAATACGCGTTGAAGCTTCCACCGTATCTTAGCTTCATAGCTCATTTTGTGGTATCACTGAATAATCTGCAATTACTCGGAGACAGAATTTTGATGGTCTGTTGACCCGTTCACCTAGAGAAGGGCATCTCGGTTGCTTCGGGTCTGGGGCCACGACGCACAAAGCTGCTGTAAAGGTCTGGGTGCGGAGTTCCATGGGGACACTCGCTTTCCGGTCAGCTGGGTCCTGCAACAGACTGTGAGCACTCATCCTCCTCCTGGGCCTCACCTTTACCCCCACCTCCAGGGGAAGGGGTGCCCTCGCTCTCAAGCCTCTGGGGCTTCTGCAGTCCCCATCCCTTGCTCTGGGCCTCGGACCTGCCCACCTATGACTCAGCTTTCTCTGGTGTGCGAAGCTGGCCACACTGTCCCTCCGGCTTCCCAGCCTGGACTATGACGTTGCCTCATCTCCTCTTCTCCTCCCGTTGTTTTCATGAGTCTCTACCTTCTCTTGACCCTTTGGCTGTCACTTTAGGGGCAGGAAGTGAAAGCGAATGTCAGTGCACGGCCAGCCACATTCCCTTCCCTCTCTCCGAGGCTGCGATATGCCCCCCCGGGGTGGGGTCCGTAGAGCCCATGTTGGTTAAGTCATGGTTGCTGCCACTCCAGCTTTGGGAGAAAGACCCTCTGCTGCCACCCATCCCCTGGTGCCTGTGCCCGCCGGGGCCTCAGTCCCAGCTCCCTGCCCTTGGTGATCTCTGCTGTGGGACTTTGAAGGAGAAGGGAAGGGGGGTGCTCAACACCTTGAGCTGGAGGCCTTAGACCAAGGTCATGTCTGGAGAGATGACAACGATGGGGGACAGCAGGGAAGGGGCAAAGAGAGCAGGAGCCCCATGGACACTAAATATATCCCTACCCTCTGGTTGGCACATGCATCCTCCTCTCCCCAACAAGCAGCGTCTTGCTTGCAGCAAGCCTTCTGGGGAAGTGACCGAAGCCATGAAGTTCAGGGTTATGGTCAAGAAACTGAATGGTTGGTCATTGAATGGAATCCCCTTCCTCTGCCCAACCTCCAAGAATCTTGTCCTGATCTCTCCGCATTCTACCTGTAGTACCTTCTCCCTGGTGAGACCTTGTCCTCAGTGTCCTCCCTGTATCGTATCCCAAGGACTCGCCGCGTTGTATCCCTGGCCACCGTCTCCCTCCTGCACCCTAGCCTCAGCTAGAGGCTGAGGAGAAGCGTGGCGATGGTTGGCCCTGGGCGTGCTCTGCGCCACACTGTCCCTTTCCAGATGGGGCCCATCATCTGTTTGGGTTTCTGAAGGATTTCTCCAAGTCTCTGGGTCACTTACATGCCGTCTTCTTGTTTCTGAGAACTGTTATGTGTTTATTTGTTAGCTTTTCAATGTCTTTGCTAGAGTTTTTTAGGTCTTCGGGCTGGGGGTGGGGCCAGACAGCTGTGCGACGTGAAACTCGAAAGGACACATACCTTCTCTGCTGGGGTTCATCTTCGAAGGGCCTCGTTATCCCTTCAGCCCCTTAGCCCTCTAAAGACCGGCCGAGGGATCCCTGGGTGGCGCAGAGGTTTAGCGCCTGCCTTTGGCCCAGGGCGCGATCCTGGAGACCCAGGATCGAATCCCACGTCGGGCTCCTGGTGCATGGAGCCTGCTTCTCCCTCACCCTGTGTCTCTGCCTCTTTCTCTCTCTCTCTCTGTGTGACTATCATAAATAAATAAAAATTAAAAAAAAAAAAAGTTTAAAAAAAAAAAAAAAAAAAAAAAAAAAAAAAAAAGACCGGCCGAAGCCTGCTTTCTTGGGAGAGGGAGGTTTCCCAGCCTCTTACGACAGCCCAGTTTAAGGTCTCACAAACATGTGCGAGTTTTCCTTAGAGTTTATCTTAACCTCCATTTTTTTTCTCTCCTGCATCATTAGCTCATCTCTCAGTGGGGTTGAAAACAGCTTCCCAGCTCTCTGGTTTCCCCGTTGGAAAATACACAAGAGGTTTCGTTCCCATGGGAAGGATGGGATGAAGATCTGGTTCCCGCGATGACTCCACGGCCATTTCACCAATGACCGGGGGCTTGTGCAACGTTGTCACTGTCGTCAGGCCTGTACCAGTAAATCTGCACGGCCGGTGGGGCGGGGCCCCAACTCCCCATCCTGTAATTACAGCCACTCAACATCTGCAGGGATGCCCTTATCTTGGGGCTGCCGTCAGGGGAGCACAGAGGTTGGGAGTGGGGGCTCCGTAGCCGGAGGGCCTGCATTTCAACCTGACTCTGCTGACATGCTTGCTGTGAGACTTGGGGCAAGTGACTCAACCTCTCTGTGCCTCAGTTTCCCTCAATGTAGACCAGTAAGTGATGGTCACAGCAGTGTGTGTCTCTTAGGTTTTTGTGATGATTAAATGAATTAATAAGTGCAAAGGCCTTAGACTAGTGTCTGGTGCTCAGGAATGCTCCACAGCTGTGCCCTACTGCCCTTACCTTCTGTGGGTCCCAAGGCAGAGCCTCGTCTCGGGTCAGACCAGACCACTCCCTGTTTCCCTCCCAGCTCTGCCCTGCACCGTGCGGGGCATCTTCAAGGGCAAGAAGAAGTCCCCCTCTTTTTCCTTTCTCTCTTTCTCCTTCTCTCGTTATCAGTGACAACTACTGCTCATCGAACATTTACTACGTGCTGGCTACGTTTCAAGTGTTATTTTTTCAAAACTCACCTGAATCCTGAAAGGCTGGTGGCACCATCCTGTTTTATAGAGGAAGAAGCAAGCCTTGGAGAGGCCAAGCAAGCAGCTCCTAGGTGGCCGAGCTGAGAGGTCCACGCAACGGTCTTCCACGGCACGCTCTTTCCCCGCCTCACCCAACATTCACGTGGGCCACCCCATTCTCCAAGGCCATGCTTGGGGCCCTCTGGGCAGTGAATTACCTCCCCCTCGAGGCTTTTGCGTGCAGGTGTTAGAAGCCCCAACTCAAGCTGGCTTAACCTAGAAAGAAAATGTGTGGTTCACAGAAATGAAACGTCTAGAAGAAAGGCAGACTCCAGCAAGGGTGGCCCCCCCGGCTCATCGATGCCCAGGGGACCCAGTTTGCATTGTCCTCCGTGGTCCTGGGCTCATACTTACAGGGGCTCTCATGAAGGCTTCCGGGTGGCTGTCAGCGGCAATCCAGGTGCTATAGGCTAGATTTCCCCCCGGATCCTGAGGCAAGGACGTTTATTTGAGACGTGATCACCAGAGACACTAGCAGGAAAATGGTAAACTGACCTGGGAAGAGGAATAGCCCCTGAAGGGTTATCTAGACAATGAGAGGACCGGAGCACAAGTGCACTGAGGGATTTGGGGGAGCAGTGTGGAACCCTGTGTCACTTACCCCATCGAGTGGCCCTGGTACTTCAGGCCTGTCCCGGAAGCAGGCACAGTAGGCCAAAAAAAAAGACAAAACAAAACAAGCCAGAGCTGATGATTGGAAATGGGACAGGGGTGTGGGGGGCGGTACGGGGAGGGCGCTGAGTGGATCTGCTATCCCGAGTGTGCGCTTCCTCAGCCTGGCCCACCGGAGACGGAGCAGTCTTTCCCGCAGCTGGCGCACCATGGTCCTGGGGGGTACCCAGGCTTGTGCTGCTGAGGTCCCATGCCCACATCTGAACCTAAATCTGTGTCCAAGAGAAAACTCTGTCCCGATTGCCTTTGTTTTCAGTTACTGCCCACCCGGCAAACCAACGCTGTGGCAAGAGATGGCGTCATGCTCATTGGCGGAGGTGAACCAGGGCCTCTGTCCCCGCCACCACCCCCATGCCCCACCCGGGCTGGGGTGGGGCCAGTCCCACCAGAACGGAATGGCAGCTGTTCTGGAATGCTGGGAGGGCTGGGAGGATGCTGGGAAGCAAATGGCAAAGTTCATCACATTAAGTATTCTCTATAACAAAAGGAATGGAATGGAAATAAAGCTTCCACGAGTACAGAAACCTGCAAAGCTCAGGGCTGAGAGGGGACTAAGAATGTCACAGGGTATAATCCACACGTGCGGCTCCTCGTCCTGTCCTCCAACGGGAGAGTCAATCTCAAACCATAGGCCTCCAGCGACAGGGGACCCGCACCTCACCCAGCAACGTACATTTGTCCTGGAGACATCTCTAGCCACTAGAAGTCTCTCGTCACATCAGGTTGGAACCTTCCTATGTCTTTTCGGGGGTTTCCAGGACACATGTGCTTCATCTGACCTAAATCTGAGTCCCACAGGGATGTGTAAACAGTGATTGCATTTCCCTCAAGACTTCCCTGGAGCAAGCTGACCATTGCCAGGCCTGTCATCTCTGAGGTGATGGCCACAGAAGGGTCCCCACATCCGGACAGGGAGATTGGGGGAGGTCCTCGAGCAGGCACCTTGGAGATGGTGGAGCCTCAGAGGGGTTTCTCCTCTGGAAGTACCGGCCAGGCTCCAGGTCGGCTATGGTTAACTGCTGAGAAGCAAATCAAATGTTATAGGGAGGAGCTCCGGTTCCCCCATGGATGTGTTTACTTGGAGGATGTGACCTCCCAGACACACAAACACCCTGCCTGCCTCCCACCCCAGCGGCTCCCACGGGAGCTCTGGAGCGCCCGGTGGTGGCCACATGCCCTGGGGCCGTAGTCCTGAGGTCTAGGCTGCTCCCATCTGGCCTCGTTCAGCAAGGCCCCACACCCAGCCCCAGCCCTGACCTCTCATCACCTCAGGGGTCCACAGAGAGTGAAGCGGCACACAGCAATGGAAAGAATCCACGCTGGAGTCGGAAGTCCTCCGGTGAAACCTGCTCCACGGGGTTAGGTGCTTCTGTCCCTCAGAGCCTCAGTTTCCCTTATCTGAAAAACAGGGAAAGGAACTCATCTGTGGAGGCGCTCTGGGAATGCGAGAAAGTCCCCGCGTACAGTAGGTTCTGAGCAACCGTGTAGATTATGGAGCTTTAGTGCTGCAAGCTTCCGCTGACGCTTCCCGGATTAACAGAAACTGTTGAGATGGTTACTGCTCTTCTGTTCTGGTAACCCTGCAACTTCGAAGGCACCACGCGGTGACTCTTCCAGCACGGAAACATTCCTGAACTCCTGCCTTCCTCCAAGACAGCCTCACATGTTGATCAGATAGGGTAGTGGTCCTCTCCTGCCCCCCCAATAAGCCCCCCCTTCTGTAGAGCCCACAGAAGACCCCCGTAGTTCTGACTTCCCTCCCTCTTCTCAGGAACGGTCCCCACCACATGCCTGTGTGCACAGAGGGAGCACCTTGCCAGACTATTACTCATCCCCTTGTGTTTCCGTTGACCTCCTGACCTTCTCCATGACCTAAGCGGGGCTAACCAGCATTCTTCCCTGGGATTCATCATGTTGAAAGTGGAAGGAGCTTTCCTTCTCCCAGACGTGTAGATCCAGAGTTGCTGGGAGCCGCATGGAGATCACCAGCTTGCAGGGAGAGAACAAGGCTGACACACAGAGAGGCAGAGACAGAAGACACAGCATGACTGAGTCCCCGGGTCAGGGGTCCTCCCACCCAGCCTGTCCCACCGCTTAGTGGCGCAAATCGTCCTTAGACGGTAGCAGGGAGGCCCCTTTCCCCCAGCCTCTTCTGAGGTCCAGCTGATTGGACTGTGGGTGGACATTTGACCCTGGGAGAATCAATCCAGAAGCTGGATGGGTCCAATCGGATTGTGTCTCCTAGAACCGGAGTATAGTTGTCAGTGTCCGATGGTGGCCGGGGCTGAACTCTTGAGGTAAATAGAACCTTTGAAGGGCAGTCATGAGGATGCTTACATAAGCGGAGGTGAGGCCTGGGGCAGGGTTCCGAGGGATGCTGGGAGGCCACCTGCCCTGGTTCCTGACAGCTTTGCCCTCCTATTCTCCCTCCTCCAGAGTCTGGCACTGCTTCTCCTCGGGTAGCATGAGTTATTCCTGCATCTCTCTGGCAAACTTTCCCTTTTGCTCAAGCTACTTTGGGAGGATCCCTGCTTCATGCCCCCCTGCCCGCCCCACACTGTCCTGTTCCTTCAACACTGCCTGAGATGGAGGCAACAAGCAGGAGTCCGTGTTCCCCCGATGGGAGCCCTGGACAATGGGTCCCTCCAGGACCTGGGAGTTTACACTCAGCCGTTTTAAAAAATTGAGATATAATCCACAAACATAAATCCATCTTTTTAAGGAATACAGTTAAGTGTTTTTTTAGTGTAGTCACAGAGGTGTGCAACCATCACCACTCTGTAGTTCCAGGGCATTGTCATCGCTGAAATAGAAACCCTTCACACATGAATAGTCACTTGCCCACCCTCGCCACCCAACCCCTGGCTACCCCTAAACTGCTTTCTTGGTATATGTACACATTTGCCTATTCTGGACATTTCATATTAATGGGATCATGCACAATGGAGTCTCTGGCATATGGCTTTTTGTGCTTAGAAGAATGTTTCAAGGTTTATGTCGTAGCATGCTTCGTCCCTTCAGTCCTGGTCATGGCTCAGCGATCTTCACATTTTGCTCATCTGAGCATCAACTGATGGACATTTGGGCTGTTTGCACCTTTGAGGTACTGGGTATAGTGCTTCTGCGAACATGTGTGGACAAGTATTTATCCAAGTCCCTGCTTTCCGGTCTTTGGGGCATCTACCTAGGATGGCTAGATCATGTAGTAACTCTGGGTTTATGTCTTTGAGGGGTGTTTCAAACTGTTTTCTACAGCAGCTCACTATTTTCCATTCCTACTCTCCGTTTCTACACATCCTTACCAGTGCTGGTTATTTTCCTTTTTCAAAAACAGCCATCCTAATGGGTGAGAAGTGGTATCTCATTGTGGTTTTGATTTGCATTTCCCCAATGACTAATGATGTGAGGAATCTTCTCATGTGCTCATTGGCCATTTGTATCTCTTCTTTGGAGAAGTGTCTATTCATTTTTTTAAAGATTTTATTTATTTATTCATGAGAGACACACAGAGAGAGGCAGAGACACAGGCAGAGGGAGAGCAGGCTTCCCATGGGGAGCCCAATGCAGGATTCGATCCCAGGACTCCAGGATCATGATCTGAGCCAAAGGCAGACACTCAAGCACTGAGCCACCCAGATGTCCCTTTTTGTTTTTCTTAACCAAAATTGCCATTTCTTTTTATGTAAAAATAGTCAAATATTACCAATGTCATATGGTTCAACTGAATGGTATTCGAGTTGCTGAACATCCCAACAGTCCATATGCCAGAGAGAGATAGACTATGGGAGTGGGGGTGGGGAAGGGGCAGGCAGAGGCATAGGGAGAGAAATCTTAAGCAGACTCCCTATTAAGTGCAGAGCCTCGATCTCACCACCCCGAGATCATGACCTGGGCCGAAGGCAGACACTTAACCGGCTAAGCCACCCAGGTGCCCCCACCCATATTTTTCATTCGTTACTTATGCTCTTGGTGGCACACCGAAATATACTCAGTCTTCAACCTTAAGTTCAGATCCTTTCCATCTGTGTAGTTCTGAATTCTGTCTGAGGTTCCGTAAATGTCTTTTCTATTACTTGCATCTTGAACAAGTCTATCTGTCTCAGATTACAAATTCCCAGGGCAGTGACCAATTCTGAAAAAACAAATTCACACTGTGCAATTAATTAAAGCTTGAATGATGATGACGATAACGATCCAGAGGCCAGTAAGTCCTCCCTTGGGCCAAACCTCATATTGCCAAACAAATCCATTTCCCCTCCACAGGTTCCGAGGATGACTTTGACATGAAGGCCTCAGAGAAGAGGGTGGCCCCTGGACTCCATGGAGGGGGTCAGGGGTGGCTGACCCGCTTGGAGCATGCCCACCAGTAGCAAGAATTTCCCCCTAAGCCTGGCTTTGCAACAAGCCAGGGGCAGCGGTTGGTGCTGGGACGATGATGGGGGCTGGGGGTTGGCATTGCCCCTCCCATTGCAAGAGGGTAAACTGTGCTCCCTGAGCAAGATCAGGCTAAGGGCAGTGACACGGTTGAGGTAGGCGGATGCAGGGAATGGAAGAGGATGACTGCTCAGCTCCCAGTCTCCGGAGACACTCTGTGGCTGCAGCTCTTTCTGGTCAGCTGACTTAGAGCTGACCCTTGTGGAACTCTTGTCCCTGGAGATCTTCCTAGGCCATGCCAGGGCAAACCCGTCCTGAGCAGTGGATGGAGACCACAAGTGACTAGCCTCAGATTCCAAGCTGCCCACACCCATGGGCTTTGGCAGGACTCACTAGCACATTCCAATCTGGCATCATTTAGAAAGCTCCTACCGAGCGCCCGTGCCAGGTCCCACAGGGCTCTCTGTCTGGGACCTCAGCTCCCTCCCTGGCCCACTGTGAGTGTTGGGGTTGGTGTTTGGGTTAAGAGCCCCAAGTCCCTGCTAAACTCAGAGGCCATGGAATGAGCCTGGGTTTGGGAATCAGAATAGTTACCACTTAATCCAAGTGTGATTTGGGGTAAGTCATTTAATACCTCTGCATGTCTCCCCCACATCTGGGAAAATGATGTTACTGATGTCACCAGGTGGCTGGTGAGCAAATGAGGTGAGGTCTGTAAGTGTCTAACGTTGGAGAGGATGGGCTTGAGAAATTGTAATCATTTAACGCAGAGCCAACTTTCAGTGCGATCTTACTTTGATCCCTTCTTTAATCTCCCACGTTGGTACCTCAGCCCCAATGTCTCACAAAGACTTGAATATCCATTTAGTCCCAGGCTTATCCACGAGTTCACCTGGGGCCTTAGGGTCCCCCAAACTCAGCCCGCCCATGCTGGGCTCCTCATCCTTCCCTGAAAACTTGCTTCTCTTCTCTCCCCATGTTTGCAGTCTCAATAAAGCCTGACCACCCAGCCAGTGGCCCAAGCCAGAAAGCTGGGTGTTTTCCTAGAGCTTTGCTCTAGCAAATTCTCCATGCCTCATACCCTACCAAAGCTCCTTTAAGCTCCCAATTACCCCCTTCCCTCTCTGTCCCATGGCCCATGCAATTTATGAAAGCTTTAATGATGACTGTTGATAATAACCAAAAGCAGGTACTCAGTAAAGTCATGGTGAATAAATAACTCCTCTCTGGTATCCTGCTTGCCAGGCCCTCCCCTCCAGTCTCTCCTCCGCCTTGTAGCCAGGGCAGCCCTCCAGAATCATATATTCCTTGCTGCCATTTCCAAGACCAAGGATTTAGTGGCTTCAGACTGTGTGACTATGTGAGGCTCTCTAGCAGCCCTTGACAGCCCAGGCCAGTGCAGAGAAGGCTGACAACAGATGAATCGTCCTGGAAATCTCTCACCCAGGTAAGACAGCACAGCCAATGGGATGAAAGGGATGTTTACAAGAGTGATGGACAAGTGCACCAAGACATGGAAGGCAGATGGGAAAAAACTGAAAAAGGAGAGTAGGAGAAACTGGGTTATAACCCAGTCAGTCGGAAGGAGAGCCTAATTATGGTCAAGAGCAATGTGTGCATTTTCTTTTTCTTTTTGTTTATTTAAATTTTTTTTAATTGAGGTTCTTTTTTTTAAAGATTTTATTTATTTGTTCATGAGAGACACACAGAGAGAAAGAGAGGCAGAGACACAGGCAAAGGGAGAAGCAGGCTCCATGCAGGGAGCCTGACGTGGGACTCGATCCTGGGACTCCAGGCCGAAGGCAGGTGCTAAACCGCTGAGCCACCCAGGGATCCCCTTTTATTGAGGTTCTATTCGCCAACATATGGTATAACTCCCAGTGCTCATCTCATCAAGCACCCTCCTCAGTGCCCATCACCCAGTTACCCCATCGCCAGAGGCAAGGTGGTTCTGAGTGACATGGCCAGAGTATAGCTGGGGGACTATGGGGACCAACAGTAGCAGTAGTGATGGTGCTGGAAATGAAGCACTTAAAGAACTGAAAGGGTAGGGTGGTCATGGATCAGCATATAACTGATTGTCCCCTTTTGCAAGTGACAGGAGGCTTTCTCAATCTACAGTCCACATGGGAGTAACAGCCATGAGCCTTGTCCTGGGCAAACTGAGGCATGTGATCATTCTAATGCTCAGCCACTCAGGACTGAAATGGGGAAGATGAAATGCTGGTATGACGTCATTAGGGACTTGGTAGTGTGTGCATGCAGTTGAGCACAGAGTGGGGCAAGGTGGTGTGACCAATGCCAAGCTCACCAACAAGGGCTTTAAAGAGATAGAAAAGCCTGAGCACAAAGCTTGGCTGGGGACCGTGGAGGTCGCAGGCACCACCTCCAGGCCTGGTGGAGAATAAGATTTGCTCAACCTCATACGTGAGTCATACTTTTTTGGAATTTCTCAAGTATTTTTTTTTTCAGTCTCATAACCTTCTTGACAACTATCTGTTATGTTTCCCTTCCAGAAGACGAAACCAAGGCAGCATGTGAATTTGGTGATTGACCCAAGGCAAATCGAGGAAACGCCTAAAGAAGGGTTGCCAGATAAGATACTCGACACCCAATGAAACGTGACTTTCAAATAAACAACGAATTGTATTTTAGTAGAATTATGTCCCAAATTTTTCACTAAAAAAAATTAATGTTTATCTGAAATTCAAATTTAGCTGGGCAGCCTTGTTTTCCAGTTTGTTTGTTGTGTTTTGCTAAACCTGGCAATCCAGGAGGAAGGTGAGGAGGCCAGAGTGGCTGTATGAATCAGAGAGCCTTGTTAGTGGCCCGGGAGGCTGCATGGGCAGGGCTGCATCTGAGCATGGCTGAGCAGCCTGAGGAGGGTGGCCAGCATGGGGAAAGGACTCAAAACCAGCCAAATCAGGT